GAGGAAAATTTGGGAAAAAAGTTAAGGAGAGAGGTTTTGATTGGAAAAAGATGTGGACCTTGCACTCCAGTGCCTTCATGGAGGATTTGGGCTCCTCCTCAAGAGACCATCATTAGCCAAACAAACCCTTTTCATTATTATTCTTCTTCTTCTTCAATTTCTGCCAGAAAGCTAGCGGCGGCCCTTTGGGAGTTTCATCACTACTTCCCACTTCCTAAAATGCACAGAGCTCCCAATAATGGCGCTGATTCAAGGCTCCTCCGCCGCCGCTACTTCCATCACTCTCACAAGGACAAGGCCCTCGACCTTTCCCACTTTCTTGGCGATCCCTGCCCCAGCTCCCCTGAACAGGTCGCTTTCTTCAACTTGTTTCTTCTTCTTCATTTGGGGTTTTGAATTTTGTGGCTGTTTTCTACTTTTTTTTTGCATTTTTATGTTTTAGGGTAAAATTGGGGAATCGTTACTCTGTAATTAGCTTGTTTTTTTGAAACTTGGTGTCTGTTACAGAATCAGGCTGTTTCTCTGGTTTAGGGTAGAGTGTATTTGTGAACTGTGTAGTGATTGGATTGGTTTCCTTTTTGCCCTTTTATGATGTTCCTTCTCTGTTTCTTCTTACAGATTTGGCTACAGTGAAATTCTATCTGGTGCATCTGTTTTCTGTTGAATGAAGATTAAATGTGTTGTGTTGTGGCGTGGCATGCTGTTTTGTTTAGATGTAGTATGGTTAATTTAGTTGGTAAGAACAAGGAGAACTTTCATGGGGTTTAGGTTTAGAAAGGCTATGGCACCCAGTGTCGGGTTTATCGCATTTTTCACACACCTTTTTGGGATCATACTTAGAAATACCAACAGTTGGGATACTTTTGTGTAATTTTTCTTGATTACGTTCCCTGCTATCGGTTGACCTTTTCTTTCTGGTGCATCTTTGTTTGTCATTCTACCCTTGGTCGATTATTGTGCGGCCTTCGTAGATTCGTGTCTTCCAGTTGCCATTTTTGCAGTTCTTATTCTCAGTTTTCATCTTTGCGTCTCTGGCATTACTTCAATTTAGTGAAACTTGTTGATTAAAATATGTCTGGCATAAACTGGCTTGATAAATCGGTTTAAACCCATGTTGCTGTGACTATTTTAATGCTACTTGTAGATTTATCTGAATTGTCTTCCTCGTTTTTCTTCCTCTTTACTCATCTTCTTCTTATCCTGAGATTGTACATATAAGATTTCTAGAGGAACTGTCTACAGTTGATTTAGATTTTCTCATTTTCATTTAGTTAGATAAATCACTATCCCCTCTTATTCAAATGCTAAAATTAACAAATTTGACCGAACGGCAATCGGTATGGAGGATGCCAAACTCCTATTTTTTTTCCTCTCTATATGTCTGTTTCCTCATCATTCATTACTTCAAATGGCAGCCAGCAAGTGCAAGCAGTTTAAGGAGGCATGTTGCTGCATCATTGCTGCAACATCATCAATCAATTGAACGGAATAATCAAGCTCTTCAGCCCGTATCTCCCACGAGCTATGGAAGCTCCATGGAGGTACAGTTCGTTTTCTCTTTTCCGTCCTTCGCTGCCAAGAATTTGGCGCGTTAAAACAACTAAGATAATGATTTGAAATCCTTTTCGAGTAGAGAATGTGTAGAGTGAATGTGACTGTCATATTCAAACTGGTAACATGGAGTGAGAAGTGAGAACTATATACTGAAATGAGCTAATACCAGCTTTATTTCAGAACTTCTACGGTTCTACCACAGTGATAAAATCCGTTCCTAGAATTGCACCAAGTTTCTGCATATTGTATATCAAATCATGAATGGGGAAGTAGGGTAAGCTAAATCAAAAGGATTTAGAGGGAGTAAGTTAAAACCTCATGATGGCCTCCTACTTAGGAATTAATTTCCTATGTGTTTCTTTGACAACCAAATATAGTAAGATCAGGCGGTTGTCCCATGAGATTAGTCAAGGTGCGCGAAAGCTGGCTACACTCACTGATATAAAAAAAATATATATATCATGAACGAGGAAGTATGATATTCCCTGGTGCATTCTGTTTTTCTTTGGATTGAAAAAAATAGCCATTTAAGTTTGTTGTTCTTTTACCATTATGTTCTTCGAAGGCATGCGTTCTGAAATGGCCAAACCTCGAACAATAGACCATTTCTCAAGAACCAGGCTCTTCATTGAGTTACCCTCTGATCGGTTCTTCATTTCTGATCCTCTAATACCTTCTTTCGTATGACGTTTGGTACTTTCTTTTTGGCAGGTGGCACCTTATAACCCTGCAATCACTCCTACTAGCTCTTTGGACTTCAAGGGAAGAATTGGCGAATCGCATTATAATCTTAAGACATCTACAGAACTGCTAAAAGTTTTGAACCGAATCTGGAGTTTGGAAGAGCAGCATGCATCGAATATATCTTTGATAAAAGCATTGAAAACCGAACTTGACCATGCCCATGTCAAGATGAAAGAGTTGCTTCGACTACGGCAAGCTGATCGCCACGAGATGGATGATCTAATAAAGGAAATTGCGGAAGACAAACTAGTTAGAAAAAACAAGGAGGAAGATCGAATCAAGGCTGCGATTCAGTCTGTGAGGGACGAGCTTGAAAACGAGAGGAAGTTGAGGAGACGATCTGAGAGCCTACATAGAAAGTTTGCAAGGGATCTCTCCGAGACAAAATCGTCTCTTGTGAATGCTCTAAACGACGTGGAAAGAGAGAGGAGGTCCAGAATGCTGTTAGAGGATCTCTGTGATGAATTTGCCAGGGGCATAAAACACTACGAAAACCTGGTGCATGGCTTAAAACAGAAATCCGACAGGATCTGTGCTGGAAGAGCCGACTGTGATGGTTTGATTCTCCATATCTCGGAAGCTTGGCTTGATGAAAGGATGCAGATGCAACAAGAACACCACAGTGCTGACATCGAGAAGTCAGTGGTCGAGAAATTACAGATTGAAATAGAGAGCTTTCTTGAAGCACAGCAAAATGATGCTAATGGTAGCAAGATCGATCAACTGTTAAGAGAGCGCCGGAGTTCACTAGAGTCGGTCCCATTGAATGAGGCTGCTAGTGCACCTCAAGCAGGGGAGGAGGACGATTCTCAAGATAGTGACTCACATTGTTTCGAGTTAAACAAGCCAAATAACAGCAATATCATGGCTCATGAGAATGAGAATGCAGAAGATCAAGTCGACGAAACAGGGAAATCAATTGACGTGCAAAAGAAACTGGGGTCTCATGAGAGGTCTAAAAGCCGCACCCCGTCCAGCTTGCAAGTAAGGTTTGAAGAACAGATGGCTTGGGCAATGTCCTGTATTGGGAACAAGAAGTCGCAGTCTATAAATACAGAACCAGGAAAAATCGAAGGAATGCCCGCCGAAGCAAACAAATCTAGCAAGACCGAAAATAGTCAAGATGCTGATGGCGGAAGTAACGAGAGACAAAACAATCACAACCCCATTCACGGTTTGAATTCAAGCCACATGCTGGACAACCTCATCAGAAATCAACTCTCACTGAAGGATGGAGATAATGTGCATCCTGAAGATGGTTATGGTGAGGCCTCCTGCAGCAACTCAGGGTGGAGGAATCAAGCAAGTCCAGTGAGACAGTGGACAATAGCAGCCCCAGAGATCAACATGACACAATCGTCATCGTCGTCAAAATTGCCCCCCGGGCTAAAGGAGAACACCCTGCACGCGAAGCTTCTCGAAGCAAGGTCGAAGGGGACTCGGTCACGGTTAAAACTTTTCAAGTGATGGCTGGCCCGAAGGATCACTACTCTTTTGTGGAGTATTTTGGCGATATAACTCTCTTTCCTTTTGAATCCTTGTTGTGATATCTCAGTATAGTACAATTTTACATTCCACTTGAGCAAATTGTAAGGATTGGTATATTAGTTGGAGGAGCTGAGTGTAATGTTTTTCACTTTTCATATATAGTTGCACAAATCAGATGGAAAATCCAGACCCCTTTTAAGAATGATATCCTGTAACCAAGTGCCTTTCTTTTTCTTTTACAAAGATTTAGTAAGTGTTTGATCTTCCATTTCAATTGGTTGAAGAACATTTTGCAAAATAAATAAAGTTCTATTGAGCTTAGTTTCTTTACAAGTCATAAAACCTCATCTCATCAATGGGCGATCTTAAGATTCATGGATGCACAAAACCCAACTTCTACAAAAGATTTGATGCTTATTTGAACTTAAAAATTTGGTGACAAGATTGGTATTTCTTTTTCATCTTACAACTGCAAAGATTAACCAGAGGAAAAGAAATAAAACATCTCGCCTGCATTATCAAAATAATAAGAAATTGTTGTTTTTATTGGGTTAAATGTATGTTTTATTTCCTCATCGTTTGGGAGTTTCTTCAGTTTATTTAAAAAGTTTCAATTTAGTCCCTCGTCGATAGTAGTGTCAAAAATTGACTATTGATAAATTTACCTGACATAAGTTGAAATTTTGGCTAATTTCTCAGAAATCTAGAGAAATTTATAAATTTCCCTAATGTTAGACAATATTCTTCCACTGTATTTCCACATAAGCCCTTAGTTATCTTTGGGAGTGAATTAAATTTGAGGTAGCCAAAATCACTTTTTGCTATTTTTTTAAGAGTGTGTTTGAGAGTGAGTTTGACATTTTTCCATTATCAAAATCACTTCTCTTTTCTCATTTTATTTATCATGTTTGACAAATTAAAAATTGATTTTAGGAAAGCTTAAAATCACTTTAAATTGATTTAAGTAAATGGGACCTAAGTACATTGATTCAATTGAATACTCTTCTAGCTATTTTTTTTATATCCGTGAGTGTTTGAGTCAACTTACGCGTATTTCGACTAATTTCACGGGACAACCGACTGATCTTACAACATTTTACTAATTCCTAAAGTAGGCGGTCGTCATGAAGTTTGAACTCATTCCCTTTTAACTAATCCTAGTCCCTTTGTACCAACGAACCACCTATGATGGTTTCTCCTCCATAAATTTTCATTATTTTGAAAATTTATAGCTACTTGTTTTTTGGTTGGATGAGACTATTTCTATAGGTATTAGTTTTTCTACGTGCATGGAATGCATTTTGACGGGGTATTTTCTCATTTTATTCTTGACTTTTGATGTTCTTTTATATGCTCGATTTTGTTGCAAAGTTTGGGCATCGTCAACATTAAATTAACACAATTTTTAGAGTAATATTGTCATGTTGAAGTAGAAGCTAGTAAAATTAGGTGACACAAAATTTTATAACTACTAACTCCTTATATATAATTATTCGATTATGAAAAATTAAGGAGAAAAAAGAGGGACAAATAGGAGAAAATTTTAAAATCTTCAACCATCCGCCAGTGCCTCTCCTTCGTCGCTCTGCCCCAAGTAGAAGCAGGAGATGGGCACATGCAAAGTCAATTTAGACAAATAATAATAATAATAATAATAATAATAATAATAAATAAAAGAAAAAAAAAAGACTTGAGCATATCCCTTGTGAGTAAGGGTGAGGAGATCAATAGGCGGCAAGAACCTTATAATATAAAAGAAAGGGTTGGATTTTTGTGACATTGGGAATCCTCCTCTCCAAATTTAGTATACTCTTAAAATCGAAAACAAAAACCCTTAAAATAATCAAAGGAAATTGAGTTAATAAATGACATCCAAATAGTTCCAAGAAGTAGAAATAGAAATCAATATAAATGGGGAGGATACACAACAATGCAGTTTGAACACAGGACCTCTCGCTCTGATATCATATAAAGTATGAATTAACCATCACTCAATCCAAAAACTTAAGTTGAAGGATTGGGTAAACTTAATTCATTTATATGGATTCTGAACACCCTCAACTCCAAATAATATCAAATATTTTATCTGCGGAGAACACTACACAGTTGCATTCTAAACCAGATGTAATCGAGGAAGAAGAGGTATATAGACATTGTACATTGTATCTTCTGTACTGTGGAAAAAACCAGAGACTGAAGTTCATATATCTTGATGAATTACCTATTGATTTTGAGATGTAATTCATGAATATTGATATAGTATCAGATTCTAATAGTCAAATGAGCCTCGGATAAAAAATGGAACCCTGACTAAAATGGTTGAGTAAAAAAAACATCATTTATTTCAATGGACTAATCCAATCTTCTATATTCATAGGGAGTATGTTTATGTTTCTACTTTATAAATATATTTTATTTGGTATTTTTAATAATATTATCACGTGTTGATATTTTCTTTGTTTTGGCATTTCTGACGTAGTCCCTCCAGAAAATGAGAAACCTTCTAAGTTGTGAATTGGGAATAGAACCAATTGACAATACTGGTTACCATTTATAATATGTTGATATATGTTTGCTCCAGGCTAAACATATATTTTAGATTTTTTGGTCTCTAATATTTATCTTTTTTCATTGGTTGATATTGATAAACTTATGTGACATGGTACTAATTAGTACTTGACAAATATCTAATCTTTACTTTTACATTCTTAGTAGGCTAATTTCTTCTTTAAACTTCTAACAACTCACAAAATATCATATTATATAAATTTATTTATAAGTTAATTTTAACCTTCACCGATTAGAATGGTATAAAAGAGAATGTTACAATATAAGGGATTAAATGAACTTTTTAAACAACATAAACTAAATTGAAATTAGAGACTGGAACATATATTTACTCGTGACATTGTTGTCCATGATGATAAACTTTCAAACTTTCTATTTGTAAAAGAAAATTAGTAATCTGAGATAAATACGTATTTTATTCATTTAATTCATTAATAAATATTTACGTAAAGAATGATTTGAAATACGTGTAAAGACTTAGGCCTGGATTTCTAAACCAATTTAAATTCAAACGATTAATGAAAAAAAGTAAAAGACCCAAATATTTTTTTAGAGGCTTAGGACCAAAACAAAAAACTTTAAATAAAAGAATTAATTGAAAATTTGAAAGGGTGGAGACAAAATAAAGTTTCCATAGACCAATAAAAAAATAGATTTTTTTTAATAAAAAAAGATTTAAACCTATATTCTTAGCAAAAACAATTTAATATTACTGCAGTATATACTCTTTCCATTCATAATTTGATACATCTTTAAATAATATATTATTTAATTGTAGAGACTCTACTGTATTTTAAAATATTGATTTCACAAATAATTAAAATAAGAGCAGTATGGAAAATCGGTAATTTTCTCGTAGTCTTTGTTGGACGTGAATTTTGGCATGCCAAGTGTCATGATCGAAGAGATGAGTTGAATTGACACGCACGTGAAATATGGAAATTGACCCGAAAACGATTAGGTCGGCAGTTAGGTATGATCTAAGAAACTGAGCCGACCTTCAAAAAGCCCGTAACATTGTCTCTACCGAACCCAACAACACGCCGCATTTTTAGGGTGTGTCAAACTTCCTGTCGGGTCCAGTTTCTATAAATAGAAATTCTTGCCTTAAATGCAAGCTACACAATCCTGGAGAAAATCGACAAGTTAGATCGGATAGAAACTAACTTGCTCGTCGAGTGCTAACTTTGTTTGGTAATCGCCCCCCTAATAGACCATGTGAAGGTCAGAAGAGTTCTTGTCGACGGTGGAGCGTCGGCTAATATATTGTCCTTCTCGACCTATACGGCTCTGGGATGGGAGAGAAGGCACTTGAAGCATAGCCCAACGCCCTTGATTGGCTTTGCAGGGGAGTCGATTGGTGCAAAACGATGTATCCCGCTCCCTGTTACCATCGGAGAAGGAGAGCATCAAGTGACCCGAGTTGCCGAGTTTGTTGTAATAAACCGAAGATTGGCATACAATGCCATACTTGGTCGGCCCCTGATTCACGACCTTAAATCAGTTTCGTACACCTACCATCAGGTTCTAAAGTATCCGACTCCGGCCAGAATTGCAATGGTCTGAGGTGAGTAAAGAACGTCGAGAGAATGCTACACAGCTGCAATGAAGGGAACCGCCACTTGCGCAGCAATCATGTAACTTGAAAGGACTACACCACCACATACCGATGAGGCAGAGCTCAACCGCGGCACGCCAGCAGAAGAGCTAGAACTTGTCACCTTGCTAGGGCCAGATAGGCAATTCAGCATCAACAGCAGGCTGGGGGCCGAGGCGAAGGAAGAGCTCGTCAAGTTTTTGAAGTCGAACTCCAACGTGTTCGCATGGTCCCATGACGACATGCCGGGTATCAACCCAAACATAATGGTGCATAGGCTTAATGTAGATCCTAACTATAGGCCTGTAAGACAAAAGCGTCGGCCTGTCGACGTCGAGTGAAGTAGTGTAATTTGTAAAGAGGTGGAACAACTATTACGAGCTCATTTCATAAGAGAAGTTCATTACCCCGCGTGGCTTTCCAATGTTGTTTTAGTTAAAAAATCTAAGGCAAGTGGCGTGTTTGTATTGACTTTACGAACCTCAATAAGGCGTGTCCGGAAGACAGCTTTCCCCTGCCTCGGATAGATCAGCTTGTCGACGCAACAGTAGGGCACGAGCTACTGTCTTTCATGGACGTCTACTCCGGGTACAATCAGATCCGGATGCATGCACGCGACCAAGAGCACACTTCATTTGTCACCGACCAAGGGCTGTATTGCTACAACGTCATGCCCTTTGGTTTGAAGAACGCCGGAGCAACCTACTAGCGAATGGTCAACATGATGTTCACCAAGCAGATCGGATGCAACACGGAGGTGTATGTGGACGACATGTTAGTAAATAGCAAGCAGACGAACTCACATTTGGCCGACCAAGCAAAAGCCTTTAGCGTACTCCGAAAGTATCAGATGAAGCTCAACCCGAGCAAGTGCATCTTTGGGGTTTCGTCAGGAAATTTCCTCGAATTCATGGTCCATCAGCGCGGGATTGAAGCCAATCCGGACAAGCTAAGAGCAGTCCTCGAGATGGAACTGCTGAGGAATATTAAGCAACTCAGGCTGAATGGCTGTCTGGCAGCTCTCAATCGCTTTTGTGTCTCG